TATACGAGGTCCGGTGCGCCCCGCTCCCGCCCACCGCGCATCCTTCTCCGGCCCAGTGCCGCCGGGCCGGGCCGGCAGAACTGTGCTAGCGCCGGGCGGAGCCGGGTGGACAGGTGCAGCCGCGGCCGGGGGCGGATGGCGGCGGATGGAGCTCGGCCCCGGCTCCAACACCGCGGGAGACAGAACCACTCACCATCTTGGATCGCTGGAGGCGAGAGAAAGGAATGAGGATTGTGGGTAATATGTACGCGGCCGCGGAGATCGCGAGAGTTGGCGCCGGCGCGGGATCTCGGACTTAAAGCGACAGGACGCCGGGAACTCAAACGCCAGGACCTCGCTCGGCCGCGGGGCTGGACAGGGGCTCAGGGCGCGGGGCGGCAGCTCGCGGGGGCCGTGCGGGCAGCGCGGGTTCGGCTGGGGGGCTGCCCGGGGGGGCGAGGGGCCGGGGCGAAGCCCGGGAGCCCTGCAGGCCCCGCCACTGAGCGAGCTCGTTGGGTGGAAAGGGGTCTCCAGAAGTCGGCGTGTCGTGCTGAGGCGGGGCAGGGAGCGCGGCCGCGTCGGCTCCGCCCACACGCAGGGGTCTGTCCTCCTGTCCCGGTCCCAGGCATGGCCCAGCAGAGAGCCCTGCCGCAGAGCAAGGAGACGCTGCTGCAGTCCTACAACAAGCGGCTCAAGGACGACGTCAAGTCCATCATGGACAACTTCACCGAGATCATCAAGACCGCCAAGGTGGGTGGGGCGTGGGGCCTGCCCGCTGCCCCCGCGTCCTGAGCACGGGAAAGGAGCAGGTCCAGAGAGGACGGCGACTGAGCGGCTCCGGTTAAAAGTGTCAACCACGGGGGGGGGAGCGGGGGGGGGTCTGCTTGGAGACAGCAGGGAACAGGACAGACAAGGCCCTCGTTCCCATGGAAGAAGCATTTGGGGGCGGGGGGGGGGTCTGCTTGGAGACAGCAGGGAACAGGACAGACAAGGCCCTCGTTCCCATGGAAGAAGCATTTGGGGGCGGGGGGGGGGTCTGCTTGGAGACAGCAGGGAACAGGACAGACAAGGCCCTCGTTCCCATGGAAGAAGCATTTGGGGGCGGGGGGGGGCGGGGATATTGACAATAACAAACAGTTCAATAGAGAAGTTAATACAACAAATAATTGCAAATGTTGGTAAAGCAGAGTAGGGGACTCTGGCCAAATTGCCATGGCTCCAAGTCCAGCACTGACTAGCATGGGTTTGGGTGGAGACTTCACATCTCGGTGCCTCAGTTTCCCCTGCATCGTAGGATCCTTATGATGACTGACGAGTTCATCTGCGTAAAGTGCTTAGCTTGGGGCCTGGCACCGAGTGGGTGGCCCAAACCTCACAGCTGTGGTGAGTGAGGAACAGGGGGAAGCTGGGGAAGGCCCCTCCAGGTAGCTAGAGAGGTCAGCATCTGGGTCAAGGTCAGGCAAGCCCGCCGACCGCTGCAGACTTGATGGAAGCCAGCGTTTATTTAGCGCTCACTGTGTGTCGGGCGTGTTGTGAGGGCTGTTGGGGTCTTGCCCTCTCCATCTTTGCAAGAACTCTCTGAGGTAGGTATCAGAGAAGGAAACCGAGGCCCACAGGACTCAGTAACTTCCCCAAGGTGACTCAGCTAACTGGCAGAGCCAAGATTTGAACCCAGGAAATCTGACTCTTAATCATTCAAGGTATCCTGACACCCACCCCAGCCCATACCTTCACATCTCTGTCCAGGTTGATAGGCTCCTCCACTTACCATCCGAGACTCCCCAGTGCACTGTCTGGTCTGTCCCAGCCTCAAGTCTGCCCACCTGTAAAGTAGGATGGAGGTCCAGGCTTCTGTGAGAATCTTGTGAGATGATGGTCAAGTGCTTAACGTGGTACCTCGCACGCAGGAAGTGATCAGGAAGTGGTGGCTTAAAAAAATACATCGTCCCTTTACTCCTCCATTTGGCAGTTTACCAAGTGCCCAAGCAAGTAACACCAGTCCCTACAAACAGGGTTCCACACCCCAAAAAAGACTGGACCAAGATAAGACCCTGTCCCTGCACTTGGCGCCACCATCAGCGTAGATAGGCATCAGTGTCCTGAGGAAGCCACCTGTTGTCTACCGGAGAACAGAACAACGGGAGAGCAGGGGTACACTCTGCCAGAGGCCTGTTAACAGAGCACGGGTTGGCAGAAGGCCAGGTGGACGGGATGCTGGGCCAGGGGCAGGGACTCCCTGACTTGTCAGCCAGGCCAATTGTTTGCTTTCTTGTTTGCCCCCCAGATTGAGGATGAGACGCAGGTGTCACGGGCTACTCAGGGAGAACAGGACAATTACGAGATGCACGTGCGAGCCGCCAACATTGTGAGTAGCCAGGGTAGAGGGCATGGCCCGTGCTCCAGGAGCATCCAGTCCCCGAGGGCTTCCTGGGTGGAGTGTGGGTCGCTCTGTTGCCGTGTGCCTCCCTTCCCCCCCAGACAAACAGCAGGAGAAAAACCCAGAGATGCTTTGGTTTCAGCCCTCGGCAATTTTCGAGAATGGGATGGAGGGCAGATCGCTTCTCAGGAGACTGTCCCCAGGAGGTGCACTTGCAGGAGGGCTGGGCAGATGGCCAGCCGCTTTTATCCTGTAGCTGTGCAGTGGTCAGGAGAGGGCAGCCCTTCCTGCCGACATGAAAATCCCCTGAGGTTTGTTGTGAGTGAAAAGGCGAATTGTCAAATGAAACCGTATGTGCAGTGTGATCCCTTCCAGTGTCCCAGGGCAGACACAGCAAGCGGGTATCTCCGCCGGTATGTACCCACAGATAACACAGAAAGAGGTCCCACAGGAGGGTCGGCCAGTTAGCTCAGTTGGTTAGAGCGCAGCCTTACAGCACCAAGGTCACGGGTTCAGATCCCCCTTCTGCTGGCCAGCCGCCCCTCCCCACAAAAAGAGAAAGAAAACCCTAAACAAACAAACAGAAAAACGAATCTTGCCCAACGAGTAGCTGTGCTGCCCGAGGGGAAGAGCGGGGCAGGAGGCTGAATGGGATGGGGCTTTACCTGTTGGGTTTGAGCTGCAAATGATCAGGATGCCTGCGACCTGTGTAATTGGGATCAGCCCTACGGGGTAGAAACCAGAGGCCAAGGGGAGGGGAGGGCTCAGGAAGCAGGCTGGGATCCTGCCCGCCCCTAACCCACATTCTGCTTTTCTCACTTAATTCTCAGAATGGCCCTGTGAAGGCCAATGCTGTAGTCCCCTTTTGCAGATGAGGAAGCTGAGGCTCCCAGAGGGGCCACTGCTTGCCCAGCATCAGCCACACAAAGGCAGGGCCGCTGTCCCCCCTCACCCCCTGCTGTCCTGGTTCTGATGGCCTCAGGTTCGAGCTGGTGAGTCCCTGATGAAGCTCGTGTCCGACCTCAAGCAGTTTCTGATCCTCAATGACTTCCCGTCAGTGAATGAGGCCATTGACCAGCGCAACCAGCAGCTGCGAGCGCTGCAGGAGGAGTGTGACCGGAAGCTTGTCACCCTGCGGGATGAGATCTCCATCGACCTCTATGAGCTGGAGGAGGAGTATTACTCGTCCAGGTACAAATAGGGCCGGACTCCCCTGCAGAGCGGGAGCCTGCCTACCTGGGCCTGCCCAGCAGACATGGCCCAGCCCGACCCCGAAGGGCCTTCTGTTTTTCCAAACCCTCTGTGGTTGTGGCAGCAGAGCCGGTGCCCGGGTTTCAGAGCAGAGCTCCTGGCCAGAGCACTTGATCGACAGACACAGTTCACAGACATGTGCCGGGGCCCCGGGCCTTGCCCACAGTGCAGCCTGATGAAAATCACAGGACTTCCGCCAGTCGGGGAGTCTGAGGCTGGAGAAGGGGGCCGAGGCAGTCCGCCTCCTCCTGAGGGCCGACCTCACGGCACAGCGCTTTCTGGGCCTGTGCTGCTCCTCTTAGCCGCTGAGTCCGTTTTTAGACTTCTCAGCCCCCAGCCCAGCTGGGCTGGCTCCTCTCAGCCACCCAGGCCCATGTCCAGGACACCAGTACTAGCCCAGAGGTGCAGTTCCATGTGGATGTCACCAAAACCCCACAGCGTGCAGGCGAGGGCAGGCCTGGGAGGGAGGAGGAAAAGGCGCAAGCAGAGAGTGGCCGGGAAAGCCGGCCCGAGGTACTTGGGACCTGGGGCCACTTAAGAGTCCCGAAACCTGAGACTGTTCGAGCTGGAGGGGCCCTGAGAAGTCAGAGTCCAGTGTAATTTACATAAGGAGAAACTGAGGCTGGAGACAGAGAGGCCTTGCTTCCTGGTCTCCTCACCCCCCCATTAGCTTGTGAAATCAAGATTGAGTCCAGCAAACTCAAAGCAAAAACAAAAACACATTCCTACCCCGTGCCCACTCCCAGACAAACCCCCTTTCCTCCTGGTGGTAGATTTAAAGTGCTCCTGTTTGTCCCAAGGAGGCCACACTGAGGAGCCACATTGTTCTGGTCCGGGGCTTGGTCTCCCTGCCCTGACTCAGTGTCACTACTCAGCTGGAATGGTTCTAGAGTTTCCAGAGGATTCTGGGCCATCTTTGGTCCCTGAGACTCACCAGCTCAATGGGCATGTGGCAGTGTCTCCTGTACATCAGGGAGGCAGCGAGGGGTCCTGGGGTGTTTCAGACCCTTCCAGGGATGTGGCTTCACATCCCCATATTTGTCCCCTTGAGGCAGCTGCTGCTCCCAGGGGCCACTGGACTGAGCAGTCTTGGGACAGAAATTCAGCTCTGCCTTGAAAGGTCGAGGGCCAGAGAGAGGACGGTCCTGCCTGAAGTCCCACAGCATAGCTGTGGCAGGAACCAGGGAAGCTGAGCACCAGGCTTGCTTTGTCCTTGCCTGGTCAGTGTGCTTCATCCAGAGGAGCTTCCGAGCTGGCCTAGTGTCCCTCCCACGGCCATGCCCAGGTGCCTCAGGAGCGAGGCCAGCCCACCCTGCAACGCAGCTCCCTGACCTGTAAACACCTGCTAGTGGCCAGGGCGCAAGTGAGATGGGCCTGTGGCTTTTGCAGCCCCTCCCCACTCATTCCTACATGCAGGTGGTCCCTAGCCTGAGCCACCAGCCACTCAGCCCTCCCTGCACACGAGCCACCCACTGCCCCTGGGCCTGCCCGCCTGCTGTCCGCTCAGCATCTGCTCTTTCTGGCTCTGCCTCCCCCTCTTCTCCTTGGGATTCCTCTCTGCCCAGCATGGTTCTGGGCCTGAACGCTGAGAGCAGGAGCAAGGGAGGGGGCCAGAGGCAGGGTGGGCCTCAGCAGATGGCCAGGGCCACTGTTTGCACGGTAGATGGCTGTGGGGACAGGTCCATGTCCCGGAGTCACCACCACCACACTGTCATGAGTGCCGGGCACCAAGCTTCACCTGCACCCTTGCCTCCAGGTTTCCCTGTGGTAGAGATGGGGAAATTGAATTCCAGGAGCCAAGGGACCTGCTTGAAGTCACACGGCTGGTGCAGGTGTGTAGGGGGACGCCAGAGCCTATGTTCCTAACTGTCACCCTGTTCTGGCAAATCCCAGGCACAGAGAGACCCAGAAATAAGGGGGGGCTCTGCCCTTGGGGAGCTCCTCGGGAAGAGTAGTGAGTGTCAGACTAGCGAGTTCTGGATGCTGGTTCCCGCAGCTGGTGAGGGTTAGAGACCTGGCTGGCAGCTTCTGCAAGAGGGCAACTGGAGCCAGGCTGGGGGCCTAGCCCGGCGGAGGCTAGGGCAGACCCACGTGGAAGTCGGGCAGGAAGGACACCTGGACAGTAGGTGGGAAGGGCCTGCCGAGGCCACACAGCCTGTTGGTGGCTGGTCCAGGATGGCTTCCTCCTTTAAGGGTGCAAGGGCGGCCCCCACGGGCCCCTCCCTCAGCCTGCTTGATGGAGGGGCCAGCACGGAGCAGAGGAAGAGCAAGGCGGGGCTGCGGTGTGCTCTATGTTTTCTTACCCTGCTTCTGTCTTGCTCCCCGCTCCTGGCTTTCCTCTCTGCCTGCTCCTGTCTCTCCCTGGGGTTTCTGGTGGTGGAAAAGCTCGAGTCTTTGCGAAGCTAATGACCTGCCTCTGTGCGAAGCTTACTGGAGGCTGGACCTCGACACAGACTCTGCGGATGGCCTCTCGGCCCCTCTGCTGGCGTCCCCGGAGCCCAGTGCTGGGCCCCTGCAGGCTGCAGCCCCTGCCCACTCCCACGCCGGCGGCCCTGGCCCCATGGAGCATGCCTGAGCCTCCAGGGGGTGCCCTCCCTGGGCCCTAGTTTCTCAGGAATGAAACCCAGGGCTCCCCTCTGGATGCCACCACAGCATCACTTCTTTTAGCCTAATTTCCCACTTGGGGACCCTGGAGCTGTGGCAGTTTCCTTGGGAATCTCATCAGCCCGGGTCAGCCCTCCCAGGACGGCTGGGGAAAGTTGTTCCCTGATCATTTCTGAGTGGCCCATCCCTCAAGTCATCACCCCCATTCCTGCCTTCCAGGCCAGCCAGGTGGAGGAAGTTTCCAGGACAGGTTTGTCCCATTGAGGACCTCAGCAGCGGGGCAGGGAGGACACCTGATAGGAAGATCCCACCTGAGCATGTTTAAAATTGGGAGGAGGCTCAGTGTGGACAGCGTCATCCAAGCCCAGTGTCCGTCCTTAGGCCACGGCTCCCATGCAGAGCCCTGCCTGGGCCACAGATGTCCCCCCACAGGCCGAGTGCCCTGGCAGGGCTGGTGAGAGGGGTGCTCACGCGGAAGCCAGGCAGGGGCTGTTTCCTAAATTCCACTGCTGCCTACATTCTGAGTGTCTTTATAACGAGATTGTTGAATAAAACACCACCGCCCTTTTGCATCGGCTCTGCTTTCTTCCTTATCCCGGAGCAGGCCAGGGCCACCCTGGACTCCCTGCGGCTCTACCTGGACAGCTGTGCTCCGGGTCAGCGCTCTCCCATGGGCAGCTGGCCGGTCCTCAGTATTTGGCGGGAGCAGGCCAGGGCCACCCTGGACTCCCTGCGGCTCTACCTGGACAGCTGTGCTCCGGGTCGGCGCTCTCCCATGGGCAGCTGGCCGGTCCTCAGTATTTGGCGAGTGAATGAAAAACCGCTGCCTTCATTGAGCCCTACAGAGCCCGCGCCTGCACCCCTGGTGGCGCCCAGCCCTCACCACAGCCCAAGTTGGGCTGCCTGTTCCTGTGTTCCAGAGATGACACGGGCTCAAGGGTGAGGTGCTGTACCGTGATCACAGAGCCAGCAGGTGGAATGGCAGAAATCAGGACTTGAACTCCAGTGAAACTCTAGACCCAGTGCCTCTTGGTGCCAGGCCCACCTTGGAAATGCAGACATCACCCCGCTAGGGATGGGGGCAGGGGGAGTGTCACATCAGTAGTGCTGGGACTTCAACCCTGCCACCTAACTGCCATCAATGTGCTTTACCTCCTTCCATGAGGGAGACCAATATCCCCGATGTGTGGGGGAAGTGACAGCCCAGGATCCAGCATTGGTCACCATGGGGCCCAGAGACCCCCACAGTCAAGCAGAAGGCACTAGGTGGGTGGGATCCTGGGGCCCAGCCCTGGCTCTGGCCCTGGCATCTGGGGTGGCTTGGGGAAGTGACTTCTTCTCTGAGGGAGAGTTTCCCCCGTCATAAGATGTATCGATCTCTTCTTTCACTATTTTTTAAGTTTTACTTTAATTGACAAATAATCGTTGTATATGTGGAGTACAAAGTGATATTTTTATACACATACATTGTGGAATGATAAAATCAGAATAATTAACATTATCCATCACCTCTGATTATCATTTCTTTGTGGTGAGGACATTTGCAATCCTCTCTTTTAGCTATATTGAAATATACGATACATTATTATTAACTAGTCACCTCGCTGTGCGGTAGAACCACAGAACCGATTCCTCCTGCCCAGCTGAAACTATGCGTCGACCACTGTCCTCTCTCCTCCCCTCTGCTAACCGTTGCTCCACTCTCCACTTGTCCGAGCTTGTTGTAGAGTCCACACATAAATGGGATCATATGGGATTTGTCTCTCTGTGCCTGGCTTACTTCACTTAACAATGTCCTCTTGGTTCATCCATGTCATCACAAATGACAGAATTTCCTGGCTTTTTTGACACTAAATGGTATTCCATTTTTGTATACACTACATTTTTAATCCATTCATCCATTGATGGACACATGTTGTTTCCATATCTTGGCTGAGAACCCACAGATTGGGAGAAAATATTTGCTAATCATACATCAGAAAAGGAGGTAATATCCAAAATATATAAGGTGGGCTGGCTGGTTAACACCAAGGTTAAGGGTTCAGATTCCCAAGCCGGCCAGCTGCCAAAAAATAAAATAAAAAATGGGGAACGGACTTGAATAGACATTTTTCAAATAAGATATACAAATGGCCAATGGATATATAACAACATCTCCCATTATCAGATAAATGTAAATTAAAAACACAATGAGATATCGCCTCATACCTGTTATCAAGAAGATGAAAGATACATGTTGATGAAGATGTGGAGAAAAGAGAACCCTTATCCACTGTCAGTGGTATTGTAAATTAGTACAGCCATTTTGAACAATAGTATGGAGATTTCTCAAAAGACTAAAAATAGAATTACCATACTCCAATGTTTGAATGTGTCCTCCAAATTTCATGTGGTGGAAACTTAATCCCCAAATTTATGTGCTGATGGTATTTGGAGGTGGGGCCTTTGGGAGATAACTAGGATTGCAGAGGGTCAGCATGCTGCAGCCCCCTTAATAGGACTGGTGGCTTAGTAAGAGTGAAGTTGGTTAGAGTGTGGTGTCATAACACTAGGTCAAGGGTTCAGATCCCTGTACCAGCCAGAGGCAGGCGGGCAGGTGGGGGGGGGGGGGGGGGGACCTGGGGGGG